TAATTGCAAAATAAAAATTAAGCACAGGTGTGGCAAGAACTAGTAATCATGGGTTTAACTTCCAATTAGTCAATCTCATTAATGGACAAAAATCTTGAATTAAAATTTTTTTTATGAATTAATACGAGAAAAATGGACATGCCCTCTTTAAGCAGTAACAAATAAATTCATAAATTACACAGTACAAGGGAACCTAATAGAAAATCCATAAACACACTAAAATTATGAACAGAAACAAGATGGAACACAGGATGTACCTCTCTATCTAAAAGGATTAGTGTATTTATCTCTGGCACAACCATCTGTACAGACAAAGAGAAAATAATCACTGGATTGTAGGGTGTATTTTAAATTATATAAGATTTAATAACATTGCTTTTGTTTGTTCTGATATGCTAACTGGCTTGCAAAGAAAAAGAGTGAAGCATGATTACATCAGCTGAGTTAACAGGTTCCTCAGCTTGCATTCGATTTAGAATGTCTGCAACACGCACAGATGCTTTTCCTTTTGCTCTCACATTTGGTATCACTCCAAAAGAAAACTACAAGATAAAATCAAACAAGGCAATTATATGAAGATACATAAACACACATCAGAATCATGTAAAGTTCCATGTTTATGATGTTGATGACATTTCATAATTGAACAGTTCTATCAGATTATCTCCCTTATTGTTTGATACTAATCTTTCTAAGTCTTAAGCTTCCTAGTTAAGAAAAATCAACAACACTGTGTATCCAAAAACTACAACCTCAAGTTTGTGAATGGCTTTTGCAATATGCCAAAGTGAGCTTGTATCCCCATCAACTTGGCATTCCTACCACAAAGAGAAGGCAAACAAAATAAGTAATAAGTCAAAGTAATACTAAATGCAAGAAATTCCAAAGCCAATCAATCATAACACCAAAAGAAACTCAATAAATAAATCAGCATGAGCCAAAGTAGTAATATGCAGCATACTTTGTAAGAAAGATCAAGTTCAAATGATAGAACATCCTCATCCATTGGTACAATATACAAGGGATATTCCCCTATTGTAATCATATGATGTAATTTCTCTTCCTCAAGAACCTGCACAAGAAAAATAATTATTTGTAGTGTTGACCTACCGATATCATGTTTACAAAGAAAAAAATTGCAAGTTAATGGAAATGAATTCATTTCCAAGGAGAGCTTACTTTCTCACAAACAACAGTGCGACGGGGGACAAAATAAACATAATATTCTCTCTGTAGTCCTTTTGATACATCACTGTGAATATTAGAACATATGAATCTCATCAATTTAGGCTGGGAGCGCACAAGGAAAACAACTTTGCTGCTGTCAGTTTGAATTGGGTCAGCTGAGAGATGTCGCAATTCAACTCCATGCTCCTGTTTGTAAGTCAGTGTGACCTCTCAATATCATTGAAAGATTAAACCAACAGTTTATTGGTAAAAGAAATATGATTTTTCTTCTTTTTTGTCTGTGTGGGCACACAGAAATGTTAGATTTTATTAAAATTAAATCAAACAACCAACTAACATTGTATTAAAATGTAACCCAAAAAAATACAACAGGGTATTTTTGTGTGGATTTTCTATTAAATAAACAAAACCCAGCAAACAAGTGAGGGCAAGAAAAATGCCTTAAGAATGGACGTCTGTATGATAAGCGAAAGAGAGTCCCCGAGCTTCGGATCAATGACCAAACACTTCTTTCCTCGAACCTTCGAGAACACAAGATAAAAAACACAAACACTTACAAAGTCAGTGTTCAATGCCGATACAGTGAAAGCAAGCGAAATCAAAATTAACGGAAAACTAAAACATTAAATCTAATTTCAAATCAGAAAAAAGAAAGGTGAAATTCAGAAGCAATTATCACATTCTTGAGGATGTTGACGAGCTCCTTTTGGGACTGTTCCCTGAACGTAACGAGAAATATAAAATTCAAAGTTAGAATTAAATTGTAAATCGTGATCATGATCTTTGGAATAAATTGGAGGATGAGTGAGAAATTGACCTAATGGATGTGAGATTGACAGGAGCATTGTCCAGATTGGGAATCTGAGCCATTGAGAAGCTGATTGCGGTGCAAGAGCACTAGTTTTCCCAGAAATTTCAATTCAAAGGAGAATCATAATTGCTTCCTCTTGATTCAAGTTCTACCTCCGCTAACTTCTCCTTGCTAACTTCAGCTCAGTGAAATTTATTAAAAACTAAAAAAATGGTATTTGTTCCACAATTTCTTGGTCATAATTTAATAATTTTTTACGTAACATTTAATAAATTTTAATTTATAATTAAAATTATTATTATTATTATTATATATTAAAAAGTGCATTAATAATATAAAATTTTTTAAATGCAGTGTTTGGATGAAATAAGATTTTAAAAAAACTCTCTAAACAAAAAATATGATTATATTGTATTGTAACTAATTATAAAAAATCAAACTTATCTAAATAGTAATTCGTTGTTATAATATTTTTCAATAATAAGTTTTCTTATTATAAATATTATTTAATCAATAAAAACAAAAAAACATATATTGAGTTTCTTTCTCTCCTTTACTTTTGTCCTTCCGTTTGTATAAAAAAAAAAATTATCGGACTGTCCGAAATTATGTGATATCAATATTTTATAATTTTAAAAAAAATCATGTATATCGCTACGTGAGTGACTGGAATATGCTTTATTGAACTAGCAATGAGTTAGCTGAATATTAAAACTAAAATATTAAAATTAAAAAACTAGCTAATAAATATGAAATGGTAAATAATAATATCGTTAATTTTTAGATCAAAATTAAAATTGATAATTATACTTTTTTAAATAATTATAAAATCAAACTTTTAACTTTATTTTTAAATGTTTTTATTAAATAAAATAAGATAATATAATTTAATTTATATTATTATTTTGATAATAATTTTTTATTATAAAAAATAATTTTAATAATTTAATTATCTTTTAATAAAATTTAATAACAAAGGTGATTTAAAATTTTTAAACATTAAAATAAGAAAGGTAGTAAAATTTAAAAAATGAAGAAAAAAGAAAATTTTATTAAAAATAATATAATAAATCACTTTTAATTATTGACTAAAAAATAATATTTACAAAAATGCTTGTTAAAACAGTACTACTTTTGATAAACAGAATTTTTAGTTAACAAAATAAAATTTTTAACTAATTAAAAGGTTCTATCAAATACATTTAGTGATTATATGGTATTTTGTAAAATAAAAGAAATAAGGGAAAGGACTTTTATATTGATTTGATATTTTAAGAGGGAGGGGAAAGGTTTTTTTACTCAATTGTAGCTTTCTGAAAGATTTAAAGGATAATATTTTATAACCAATTTTGATAAAATTATTCTTGAAGAATATATTTATACATCTTAAATATATAATAATAAACTTGTTTATTTATTTTTCTCCCTTCTGCTTTCCCTAACAAAATTAAAAATATTACTCTCTTCCATTAAATTTTTTCCTGTCTTTTCTCCATTAATTAAAACTTCACTTGTTTTTTTGTCAAAATCAGACAATGTGTTTAAAAAATTATATAAATTAAAAATAATTTTCATTTAAAATTTTATAAAAATATCACTTTTTTTTTTTGCTATAAAAATATCACAAAATTAATAATTATACCCTTCATTAATATTAATTAATATCTCATTTGTAACAAAAAAATATATCTCATTTTTTTATATTAAAAATATATCTCATTTGTTTATTATTCTATACCAAATAAATATTAATTGTTAAGGATAAAACTGTAGATAAATATAATCATAATGTCAAAGAAAAGAAAAAAAACAGGAGAGGTATATTCTAAAAAACCGCGTATGAAAATACTTCGCGTGTCATAATTATATGAACATGTTTTCTCTCCAAAACGCTTTTTTCCATTAATTTTAATATTTTGAATACTTTTTTCAAAGATAGTATTTATATTTTTAAAATAATTTCTTTTATTTTCAGTTGTTAACTTAAATTCTGAATTTAAAATTATATTTTAAATTCAGGTTAACTTTTTTAACGTTACGTTCGCATTCATTCACTTTTATATTCTTAAATTTTTAGTTTTTTTTTCTAATTTTTAATACATTTTACATTTAATACAGGGGATTTAGGCTTAAATGTTAAATCCCCCTATCATATCTGATCCCAATTAACGCTTGCAATTCCATAAGACCAATCATATATTTTATTTTATTATCTCCAATCTTCTCCATGCATTTATTTTTTTTTCTAACAAACAATATATTTTATTATTATTTAATGTTCTTGTTTTTTTAATATACCAACTCTTTATAAATACCAATTAATTATTTTATCTTTTTTCTGTCATTATATTTATTTTGCTGAATATACCATTCATATTCTGTCATAATTATGCGAAAATGGTTTTCCTCCTAGATTCATTCTTTATCAGTAATATTTCATGCACTATAAGACTATTAATAAATTGAAAATTAATAAAAATATATCAAAATAAATTGATATATGTAGCATTACATCATTTAGATTCCATTCATAACTACCTTAGCCATTCCAAAGCTTGTATTTTTTTTTTTCAAAATTAAAAGTTTCAAAAGCATTTATTTTATATTTTCTTTTCATTACAAAAAGATAACTTTATTAATTAAATAATTTTGTTTATCAATACTTTTATTTTAATATTTTCAAACACTTTTTTTTTTCATATTTACGAATATCCATCTAATGCAAAGGCATCATTAGTAGTATCACGTCAATTAAAAGTGCATAATTGCAAGGTCACTGCACACTGGATTAAATCCGGTCAATATACATGGCATCATACTTTTGATATTATAATTATAACCATGATTTAATTAAAGGTGTGCAACTAATATTTACTAAATATAAGTTATTAGTACATTTAGTATCGATTTTTTATATTTTAATCTTACTTCTTCATGTCTTTATAAAATTAGCATATGTAATATCATTTTACACATCAACCATTTCATTTTCATTATCAAAATGGTCGTTACTAACAAATCACAACCCCTTTACCATACCTTGAACCTCCTATGCATATTTCTTCTCTTATTATTCTTCCACTCAGAAAGCATTTACATCGGGTATACTACTCATCTTATTTCCTATGATTCTCCTTTATCTCCATTCCATAACCCATCAAACACCCATTTTGATCGTTTGCGCAATGCTTTCCGACGCTCATTAAACCGTGTCAACCACTTCAAAGTGGCCACACTAGTCCCTAGTAAAGGCACAACGCAAGACCCTATAAACTCGGGTGGTGGAGAGTACCTCATGAAAATTTCCCTTGGAACCCCACCAATTGAGGTAATTGGAATAGCTGACACAGGAAGTGACCTCACATGGACACAATGTCTACCATGCATTAAATGTTACAATCAAGCTATTCCCCTCTTTGATCCTGGTCATTCCTCATCTTACCTTACAATACCATGCACATCGAAAATTTGCAACGCACTAGACACTTCAAACTGTAACCGTAACATTAGCACGTGTGGGTATAGTTATTCTTACGGGGATGGTTCTCGCACTGCGGGAAATCTTGCAGCTGAAACCTTAACATTAGGCACTAGCAGTAGCAACCCAATTTCTCTTAAAAATATTGTGTTTGGGTGTGGACACAACACTACTGGCATATTTGATGCATCAGGGTCTGGCATAGTAGGCCTTGGTGGTGGTGAGCTCTCACTAGTTTCTCAATTGGGTACTCAATTTGGCACCAAAAAGTTTTCCTATTGTCTAATTCCTACTTCAAGTAACTCCACTAGCAAGATAAGTTTTGGTAACGATGCTGTTGTTTCTGGTCCTAGTGTCGTTATAACTCCTATTGTAACAAAGGTAGCAACCTTCTACTACCTCACATTGGAGGCATTTACTATAGGAAACCAAAGGATTCCGTTTGTAATCAAGGATGGCACAGAGACAAGGTCTAGTGTTGAGGGAAACATCATAATTGATTCTGGGACAACATTGACAATTTTGCCTTTAAATGTTTATAATGACATGGTGTCTGCTTTGGATAAAGTAATAACGGCCAAGAAGGTGAGTGACCCCAACGGTTTACTTACCCTTTGTTATCAAAATAATCGTAACAATATCAAACTTCCCATTATCACGGCGCATTTCAAAGGAGGGGATGTGAATTTGCAGCCAGTGAATATGTTCTCTTGGGTGAAGGAAGATGTGGTGTGCTTCACAGTGATTGCATTCTCTAACTTCTCTATTCTTGGAAACTTGGCTCAAGCGAATTTCTTAATAGGATATGACCTTGAGGCAGGTACTGTGTCCTTTAAGGCTACCGATTGTACCCGACAATAGTGAGATGTGAGAGGTTTATGGAATAATTGACATCAAATAAAGTCCAATAATAAAGCTTTCTTTGCTATGATGTAATTATTATTTTAAAATATTATTATTGTATGTTATCCTCGTAGAATAGAAAGTATATATATATATATACATTGAATTGAAGGTATATTATTGAATTGCAATAATTTTTATATGTTTTTATATAATTATTTGTATGTCAACTGTAAAAAAATGAATTTAAATTGACCTCCTAATTTTACTCGAATATAATTCTGTCTCAATTATAATAAAAAAGTATAATGAATATTAAAAAAAATATAAGATGGTAAAACTTATAAAAAAAGTGACAAATAAGATTTAATAAATATGATATAAATTAAAATTTATTTTTCATTATTTAAGAATAACATGTAATAAAATAATTATTTTATAGTTTATTAAAAATTAATATATTTTAAATTAAATTTAAATACAATGAAACATCAATATACTATACTATAAATAGATAGTCAACACGAGAATATAACGTGAACAAAAAATTAATAATGTTTAATTTATTAGAAACTGAATATGTATTTAAAAAATATAATATTATAATAACAAAATAGAAATAATTTTAATAATTATTTATTTATGTAAAGATAATTAATAAAATAATTTTATAAACAATGTTACAATTAAAAATTGTTTATATTTTGTTTTGTTGATTGCCAACATCTGTCTATCTCTATTTTGTGATGTTGATTACTTTTAATTCTCTTTTTTTTTTCGGAGGCAATTAAATATACTAAAATGGATTTTAAAATAAAATAAAAAAGAAATGAAGAACACTGAGAACAGAATAAAAGATAGAAATAAAAAAAGAATACTACATTCACAGATGTGCTCGTTTTCTTTAGTTATCACTAATATTGTCAAGAGAATTATAAAAAGTTACCATCAAACTATCATGAACATACTTACTATTGGAATTAGTCCCAATAATGATGCAAATTACACAAATATATGTTCCCATAGTTGTTTTAAACAAAAAGCAACAACCATAGACATCATTCTTAATAATCACAATAAACTGTCTCCATTCACCATATCCAATGTATTAATAATGGTAAAAAATTTTGAAATAAAGTTTTTTTCTTTAGGAAGTTGAAAAATAATAAAGAAATAAACAATAAAAATTATTAAATGCTAATATAATGTATATTACCGTTAAAATTAAATATTTTTTATTGAGTAAAATTGATTTGTTATTGTAAAAAACAAAATCGGATTCATTCACATTTAATATTAAATTTAAATATTTATATTATTTAATATTTTTTTATAAAATATATAATTGAACAATATTTTTATTGAATATCAATTTAAAATTTCTTATAAATAAATAAATTTTATAAATTTTTAAATAATATATTTATAAACAAATATTTTATCTTATTAGTATGATATATATTTAAAATAGAAATAATATAAAGTTTAAATAAATTATTTATAAATATGTAAATTGATTAAAAATATATATATTTTTTTACATTATCGAATATTGATATTTGCATTCATTCGTATTTTTTTACTAGTATTAAATGATAACAAAAGTAACGAAATATTTTTCAAATAAAAACTACAAAAAGATATTACCATCGTTCCGAAGCGTGTTTTATTCTATCAAGGTTTGTGTGTGTCTCCTCTTTCTCTCTCTAATATTTATATAATTATAGTATAATATTTTTAATTAATGTAATTTAACAAGAAAATTTAATACATGACAATACGTACGATGACAATAACGATGGAAACTAGTGGGAAAAAAACTCGTTCAAAGAAGTAAAACAAATAATTGTCAAAATATTAAAATGAAAAACATATTTAATCATGATATGAATTTATCATCATACTAGTCAATCAAATCAATACACCTTTCCTTTCCGTATGCTGTGTGTCTATTCCTCACGCGCTCTCTCCCCGTCTCTGCGTTGTCGCCATTCTGAATTCTTCGCCTCTGATTCATTCCTCCCACGCCTCCAGCAACAGGTTCGATTCGCAAAACCTTCGATTCACCGCGCACACACTGAATCTCGATTCCAAGCCTTATTCTCAAGATCTTCCAACTCGAATGCATATTCCGAATCGTTACTAATGATGGTTCTTTTAGAGTTGAAAACTCTGAATTCTCGAATGCTTTCGTTTATTGCACCGAGTAGTTTGTTTTGCGTGAGTGAATTACTTAAGAGCTCAACTGAAGTGTGCACGAGAAAGAAAATCAGGGATCGGCTTCTGTTCGTAGTAGTTGAATCGTGTTTTTGGTGTTTTAGTTAATATTGCCGTAGTAATGGACAGCGAGAATGCCTAATTTTACGCTTACTTTTTTAAATTGTTGCTGAATGACTAAAAGAGTTGTCGTTATGTTGTGCGCACACATACAGAGGTTTTTGATGTAGGCATTTTTAATCATTTAATGGTTAATGTGGTGGTTAAGTGCAAGACTTCCGATGCTATTTCACTTTTGTTGAATTAGGAATTCGTTTGCTGTTGTTTGTTATGCTGTGATTTTCCTAATGTCAGGTTATCTGAAGTTCAAGTAAAACTACCGATTGCTCTCGCGTGCTACTGGAGCTGAATTTAGAGGTTTTTTTTTTTTAGTTGTTTCTTAAGTCTTCGCTCTTGGGCTTGGTGGCCAGGAATTGTTCATTATAAGTATATAAGGAAGAAGATTAAGGTCATTTTGTTTGGATTCTTAGACTTGCTTTTTTCTTGTGGAATTTTTAACTTGGAATAGGGGCAGGGGTCTTGGAGACAACTTTTCAGTAATTGTGTTTTGGCGGAATTAGTGCTAAATATATATTATACTTCAAAAGCAATTATAAGTTGGCTATATCCTTCTTTTGTTTGCTTTTTATTCTTATGCATTATTCTGCTGGATGGTGGATGTTTTCAGTCTTAATTTTATGAATTAAGTATACTGTAGATTATTATATTCATTGAAACACCATATTTTGTTAATGCATGTATTGAGGTCTTTTTTTTTTTTTTTTAATAATGTGAAACTTTGCCTAAGAATTTTCATGACTCTTCCAATTAAAATCAAGAGAATTTTTTCATTTATTTGGGTGCAATTGTTTTCCTTGTTTTGGGGGTAGATAGTACCTGACTTTTATATTAAAAGAACAATTTTGAATTTTTTAAAGCTTTTTTGTATTCATGCCTTGCAGTTAGAATTGCGGGACTGTTGGCACAAATTAAACCTGTATCTTCATGGTGTGTGGATACATTGAAGACTCAATATGGGAATTTTTGATGAGTTACCTTTGCCTTCAGAAAAAGCTGTAAGATTTACTTTGTTCCTTCTGAGATTTGTATTCATTACGAGATTAGTGACCTTCTTGGCTGAGGGATTTTCTGCAAGTGGTTCAATTTTAAGATTTTTTGGGCTTACTGCTGTATGGAGCTCATAAATGACTGGAATAGGTGTGCAAGTTGTGGGAAAATTTCACTTGTTTCATGTAATACACACTCTTGATCCCCCTTGGCCAAGTAGAATATGGTTCTGATGGAAGATGCCACAACCATTTATTGTCCAGAGCAATGTCCTTTCAAGCCAGATACACAGAGTCCCTAAAGCAAAAGCCCCTTTCTTCCGTGTTTCAAAATTCAATGTAAAATTCCAACTAAAAAGAATGATTTATTTTGGAGGCATTCACACTAGACATGAGAAAGTTCCCTTATAGTCTTCTCAATTCTTCCTTTATCGATTGTTTTTTGTCCCAACAGAACCCTAAATAGGAGAGGCCACTGAAAAATGGTTCACACTGCTATATTTGTTACATTTGGTAGGACCTGATCGTTCATATTAATACCAGTCAAATCACTCTTTCTCTAGAAAATAGTGTACATTTTTAAGCTAGGAAGCGTGGAAAACACATTATCTGGAGTATCCCTCCTGCATGGGCAGAAAAGAATAGGATCATCTGCAAATTGCAAGTGCCAAATGTCATTGCTTGGTCCTACCATCCAATGCTTGACCAAGACATGAACCCAAGCTCTGTTCCTTGCAGCATCATCCAATACTAATGTCAACAATTAAATGAAACACACAAGATTGTAGAGAAATAAATCTTTCTCTGTACTTAATTTTAGTGTTCCAGGATCTTTGAATATATATGTTTTAAATATTTTTTTGATGGAATTGTTATCTTTATTTATTTTTTCCTTTTACTTGCATTCACTCACATATTTTAGTTTGAAACAATGATAGAAATCTAGCATTATACCCAAATATTTACTGGATGGGTAATGGATACATTGGGATAATGTCAAGTTTCAATTACAGTTTGAATGTGGAATCATTCTATTGAAAATGGTTTGGTTATGCATCTGTACATATATTAACAATGTGTTGAGTTTTAAGCATTGCATGAATGATTTATTGTTATTCTTATTAATGCCAAATATGTCTTCACCATAGACATATATTAGAAGTCCAATTTATTTGCTCTGAAACTGCTGTTGTCATGGTATTTCTTTTGCACTAAGTCATGCATTACATTGTAAAATCACTCATGATAATCTGAGTCCCTGTGCCCCATTTGAATACAGTATTTGAGAGAAGACCTCTCTAGAATAGACGAGACTTGGGTTGCTGCTCGTTTTGATTCACTGCCTCATGTTGTTCACATTTTGACATCAAAAGATCGCGATGCTGCTGCACAATTTTTGAAGGAGCAAAGCGATATTGTTGAGGATGTTGTGGATGAAGTAGTACATTCTTATCACAGTGGCTTCAACAGAGCTATCCAAAACTATTCCCAGGTTTCTTAAATTCATATCTACTGGTCATTTTGATGAAAATACATTGAATCAGGGACAATTGGGTCATTTGCCATTGAAAGTACTGGGTGTTTGATTATGTGTATTCATTATAGATCCACCTGTAGTCTCCCCTCCCCCCCCCCCCCCTTCCACTGTCATGTTGTGATTGTTTTCATTCCAACTACTACTTTGTTCAATTTTTA